GGTTCAAAATTTTCTTCTAAGCAGAAGAGTGGGCTTATTTTATGGTGGGACATCATTAATAAAACGTGTACACTTCCAGGCAAAAAAGAAAAAAGAACACCAAAAAAACATTTATTTGTTGTTCGAACACGTTCGGAGTCATTCAGAGTATGCCTGGAAGTATATTTAACTTGTTCTAGGGCTAGTCTTATGTATCTTATCATAGCTGTGTTATTTGATTCATAAGCTAACATCAATAACTTAGAAGGGATTTGGCATAACTTCCATATGTATTCTACAAACTGCGGCACACACAGCCAAAGATGTTCAGCGTATGAAAAGAATACTTCGTTTGTTGAGTTTTGATTACGAAGTAGACAGAAAAGGTACCTGGCAAAAAGATGGTCCAAAGCGAGCCATCACTCAAACGGGCCGAAGGCCCGTTTTCGGATAGAAGATGTATTACACCATGAAAATTCAGAAGGGACGGGCCTTCTTGCCGGTGGAGCGAAGCGGAGCTGGCTACTTGGTTTGGCGGAAGAGCGGGCCCAGCTTGTTTCATAATTATTAGTGTATATACACTATTACCCTAGCAGAAGTTGTTTTGGAATTTTTGGATTAATACTTTTTAAATTGCATTTTGCAGGTGAAGTATTGGACAACACTGAACGAACCAAACATGTACTGTTCATATTTCCGTATTATAACGGCCGAAAACGGACAAGTAGATTACAGCAAGTTTTACCAGTGTATACACAACATCATTTTAGCTCACATGAAGTCTTACAAACTCTATGAGAAAAAATACCGACCAACACAAAATGGTATGTATGTTTGGAATGAGCAACTCAGAACGAAAGGCACTCGTAACGTGCAACACTCAAACTCAAAAATATACAGCGTTGCAACTGTCATAGACAACTAATTTTCATCGCCCCTCCGCCTCCCCCCTAAAACCGCACCCGAGTTTTTATTTGGTCTTTGTACTTACCAGGAGGCTTCGTGGGGTTCCTTTCTTGGAATTCGGGTCTTCCTGTTTTGTTTTTTTTCATTGATTTCTTTAACTCTTGACAGAGGTTTCACGCAGTTTCTTTTCCACATCTTCCTCTGACTACCCATGAGAGCGCCGCGCCGACTGTTTAATTACCCATTTTTTCTGGTCTGTTGTTAACTCCTTTCTTTTTCTACAATATTCGTGGTCCTCTCACGAATTTTGGCTTTCCTTGATTGATTTTGGTCCGCCAGCAACTTCTATTTCCTATTAATCTTTTCACCGAAAAAATCCGCTGTCCTCGTATTTTACGGGGGTCTTCCTAGTTCTTCTCGGTTTCTAGACGTCCAGAGTACGCGATCTCAAACCTAGTTTTTGGACCCTTTTGTTTCATCGATTTCTAAAGGTTAAAGTCAATCTAATATCCTTTGGTTTCTAGTTCCCTAATATTGCCTCGATTGCCCCTTCTAAATCAAAATGGTCCAAGAGGGAATGTAATACGTATAACAGTGTGTGTATGGATAGGCATTATAAATGTCAAAATGTTTCGCTTTTTCACAGGAATGGTTGGCATATCTACGCTGATGTTGCCACCCACACCTGAGACCAAGACCCAAGAGGACCAAGTAGCGGCCGAAGTATTTAATCAAGTTTACGTCGGCACACTCATCCATCCCATTGTTTTCGGGGACTACCCGCCTGTGGTGCGCTATCTCATCGACAAACGCGACGCAGATGATGGTCTCGGCCGACAACGCCTCCCAGCTTTTACACCCGAGGAAAAGCTGATACTCGCAGGTCAGTGGGCTTCTTGGTTCGTTACCATATCACAGTTATTGGACGGTTAAGCGCACACTTTCGTTCGACGCAGCAAGAGCGGGCGGGCGTAGCTTGCTCAAATAGGCTTTCGTAAGCCCATATTTTATCTCCACCTTACGGACGGAGGAGGCCTGCTTTACGTGTAACCCATGAATAATGCCCGTTTGTTTCCAGAGGGTGTCACTGATTTCATAGCTCTGAATGTCTACGGTGGTTGTACAGCTAGCTACAACCGCAACAAAACTGCTGTTTCGGCAGCAGGAATTTTGCCGGGTCCTTCCGTTGAAGATATACCGTTTGCGAACATTAACTGTTCCGCTGACTTTAGCAAGGTAACACACGTCTTTTATGCCAAATGATGTTGAAAGACGCTCACAATCATGTTAACTGCATAATGAACCCATGTTTTAT